ATCTCTCTGCTCTCTGCATCTCTCTGCGCAGAGAGATGTAGAGAGCAGAGAGATGCAGAGAGTAGAGAGTAGAGAGAGGTAGAGAGTAGAGAGAGGTAGAGAGCAGAGAGATGTAGAGAGCAGAGAGATGTAGAGAGTAGAGAGATGCAGAGAGATGTAGAGAGTAGAGAGTAGAGAGAGGTAGAGAGTAGAGAGAGGTGGAGAGCCGAGAGATGTAGAGAGCAGAGAGATGCAGAGAGATGTAGAGAGTAGAGAGTAGAGAGAGGTAGAGAGTAGAGAGAGGTGGAGAGCCGAGAGATGTAGAGAGCAGAGAGATTCTCTACATCTCTCTGCTCTCTGCATCTCTCTGCTCTCTACCTCTCTCTACTCTCTACCTCTCTCTACTCTCTACTCTCTACTCTCTACATCTCTCTGCTCTCTACATCTCTCTGCTCTCTACCTCTCTCTACTCTCTACCTCTCTCTACTCTCTACTCTCTGCATCTCTCTGCTCTCTACATCTCTCTGCTCTCTACATCTCTCTGCTCTCTGCATCTCTCTGCTCTCTACTCTCTACCTCTCTCTGCTCTCTACCTCTCTCTGCTCTCTACATCTCTCTGCTCTCTACATCTCTCTACCTCTCTCTGCTCTCTACATCTCTCTGCTCTCTGCATCTCTCTGCTCTCTGCATCTCTCTGCTCTCTACCTCTCTCTACTCTCTACCTCTCTCTACTTCTACTCTCTACATCTCTCTGCTCTCTACATCTCTCTACATCTCTCTACTCTCTGCATCTCTCTACTCTCTACATCTCTCTGCTCTCTACATCTCTCTGCTCTCTACCTCTCTCTGCTCTCTACCTCTCTCTACTCTCTACTCTCTACATCTCTCTGCTCTCTACTCTCTACCTCTCTCTACTCTCTACCTCTCTCTACTCTTTACTCTCTACATCTCTCTGCTCTCTACCTCTCTCTACTCTCTACTCTCTGCATCTCTCTGCTCTCTGCATCTCTCTGCTCTCTACATCTCTCTGCTCTCTACCTCTCTCTACTCTCTACCTCTTTCTACTCTTTACTCTCTACCTCTCTACATCTCTCTACCTCTCTACATCTCTCTACTCTCTACATCTCTCTGCTCTACCTCTCTATACTCTCTACATCTCTCTGCTCTCTACCTCTCTATACTCTCTACCTCTCTCTATTCTCTCTCTACCTCTCTCTACTTTTTATTCTCTACCTCTCTCTACTTTTTACTCTCTACCTCTCTCTATTCTTTACTCTCTACCTCTCTCTATTCTTTACTCTCTACCTCTCTCTGCCCTCTACTTCTCTCTGCTCTCTACTCTCTACCTCTCTCTGCTCTCTACATCTCTCTGCTCTCTACCTCTCTCTACTCTCTACATCTCTCTGCTCTCTACCTCTCTATACTCTCTACCTCTCTCTGCATCTCTCTACTCTCTACCTCTCTCTACTCTCTACTCTCTACATCTCTCTACTCTCTACATCTCTCTACTCTCTACTCTCTACATCTCTCTGCTCTCTACATCTCTCTGCTCTCTACCTCTCTCTGCTCTCTACCTCTCTCTACTCTTTACTCTCTACCTCTCTCTACTCTTTACTCTCTACCTCTCTCTACTCTTTACTCTCTACCTCTCTCTACTCTTTACTCTCTACCTCTCTCTACTCTCTGCCTCTCTCTACTCTTTACTCTCTGCCTCTCTCTACTCTTTACTCTCCCCCTCTCTCTACTCTTTACTCTCCCCCTCTCTCTACTCTTTACTCCCTACCTCTCCCTACTCTTTACTCTCTACCTCTCTCTACTCTTTACTCTCCCCCTCTCTCTACTCTTTACTCTCTACCTCTCTCTACTCTCTACCTCACTCTACTCTTTACTCTCTACCTCTCTCTACTCTTTACTCTCTACCTCTTTCTACTCTTTACTCTCTACCTCTTTCTACTCTTTACTCTCTACCTCTCTACATCTCTCTGCTCTCTACCTCTCTCTACTCTCTGCATCTCTCTGCTCTCTACATCTCTCTACCTCTCTACATCTCTCTACTCTCTACATCTCTCTGCTCTACCTCTCTATACTCTCTACATCTCTCTGCTCTCTACCTCTCTATACTCTCTACCTCTCTCTATT